ATTTTTCGTGCCTGCCTGAGACAGGGGCCCAAAAGGAAGGAGAAAGAAATCAGTTCCTCTATTGTTCAAAGGCCACGAAATGTACGGGATCAGGAGTGGCAAGTCAGTGTACTTGCTGGACACCTAACCTTTGAAGGATGGTGGCCCAGTGGTCAAAGGCATCGAGAATTTACCTAGCTTCATTCGAGGGGGATAATAGTTCAGGTTCGATCCCCGGCTGGGGGGGGGGGAATATCACAGTGTAACCTGAGTGCTTTCATATGCTGACACACATACCCTATTCCTCTGACGATATGTGTGTAAGCACATGAAAGTACTCACGTTTTATTTCCTAATTTTTCATATTTTACAACCAAGCATATATATATTTCTTCTTGCCGAATAAGGCAAACAAAAATTTGTGCATGCAATAATTTCGCAAAAAGCATTCTGAACCTAACGAAAAAAAAATATATTTCATTGTGTTTATTATTAAATTTTTATAAACTTATCTAAAATATATTTAGTTGGATTAGGCTAAATTAAATTGCACTTTTTCTAAGGTTCTTTTGGTACATTAACATAAATGAAATAAATTATCTTTAAAAGTATATAAGAAAATTATAGAAAGGTCTTAATTTAAATAAGTTCTTGTAATTGACAATTTAAACCCATTCAATATACATATGCCTATATATATATTTATATATATATATATATATATATATATATATATATATATATATATATATATATTAATATATATATATATAATATATATATATAAATATATATTATATATATAATATATATATATATATATATATATATAATATATATTAATATATATATATATATATATATATAAGTAGTGAAGTTTTTCTACAGAGCGGTCCCTTCCGGTTTAGGGCCTTCTACAGAGCGGTCCCTTCCGGTTTAGGGCCTTTTACAGAGCGTCCCTTCCGGTTTTAAGCCTTCCACTGAGCGGTCACCTTTTCACACCCTAGGTGTTACTTCCGGTTTTGACCATGACCTCGCCCTCGAGACTACCTCCCCTTGACCCCCAACCAATACCCCCACCCCCCACGACCCCCCCCCCCTCGCGACCCCACCATCGCGCCGCGCGCCGCCCGCGCGCCCGCCCCGCGCGCCGCGCCCGCGCGCCCCCCCCGCGCGCCCGCCCCCCGCGCCCGCCCCCGCCCCGCCCCGCGCGCCCTTCGCGGGCCCCCCGCCGCGCCTTCTGCTGCGCCTTCTGCAGCTCATCCGGGTCGCCCCCCCCGGGCCCCGAATTTTTTTTTTCCATTTTTTTTTTGAATTTTTTTTTTAATTTTTTTTTTCTTTGCTCTCCCTTCCCCCGGAAAACAAATTTTTTTAGGTTCCCCCTCTCACTTTCCCCCCCCCCCAAAATTTCTTTGATATTTTTAAATTTTTGGTTTCCCCCCTTTTGGGGGTTTTTTGAAAGTCCCCCATCTCCTCGGATTTAAGTTTTTTGGAAATTTCCCCCCCATGGGATTTTCGAAATTCTTATGTTCCCCGGATCAAAGTTTTTTTGGGTTTCCCCCCCATGGGGGTTTTCGAATTTTATGATCTTTTGAATTTAAGTTTTTGGGTTTTTTCCATCTCCTCCCGGGTCAAGGTTTTTTTGGGGACCCCCCCTTTTTCACCCCCAAATTTTTTCCCACAATAAACCCCTTTTTCCATCTCCCCGGAAACAAGTTTTTTTGGATTCCCCCCTTTGGGATTTTCGAAATTTTTTATGATCCCTTTGGGCAAAGTTTTTTGGGTTCCCCCCCATGGGGGTTTTTTGAATTCTTATGATCTCGAATTCCCCGTTTTTTTTGGGTTTTTCCATCTCCCCGGAACAAGTTTTTGGGGACCCTCCTTTTCCCTTTTCCCCAAATTTTTCGACAAAAACCCCGACTTCCCCTCTCCTCGGATCAAATTTTTTTGGATCCCCCCTAGGGGTTTTTTGAAATTCTCCATCTCCTTGGGGTCAAGTTTTTTTTTTGGGGTTCCCCCCCCATGGGGTTTTTTTTTGAAATTCTCCATCTCCCTAGATCAAGTTTTTTTTGGGGGACCCCTCCTTTTTACCCCCCAAACCCCAAAAAAATTTTTCATTTTCAAAAAGGGCTTTCCCTTTTCCCCGGGTCCAAACCCCCCCACTTTCACCCCCCAACCCCCAAAAATTTTTTCGACAAAAACCATGACTCCACTCCCCCCGGAATTTAAGTTTTTTGGATCCCCCCCCATGGGGTTTTTGAAATTCTCCATCTCCTTGGATCAAATTTTTGGGGTTTCCCCTCCCCCTTTTAAAACCCCCAAAATTTTTTCGACAATACCATGACCCATCCCTCAGACAAATTTTTAAGGTTCCCCCCCCCCCACTTTTTACCCCCCCCAATCCAAAAAAATTTTTCGATAAAAACAAGTTTTTTGGGGTTCCCCCCCCCATGGGGGTTTTTAATTTTTTTTGATCCCTTGGATCAAATTTTTGGTTTTTCCCCCCCCCTTTCACCCCCCCCCCCAAAACCCCCAAAAATTTTTTTCCCATAATACCCAAATTTTTGGATTCCCCTCCCTTTTGGGGGGTTTTTGGGAAAATTTCCCCGGATCAAAAAATTTTTTTGGGAAACCCCCTATGGGGGTAAGCATTCCCAAAAAAACTCCTCCTATGGGGGGATGCTTACTACAGGTCTAAACATCTTTCCCCCTTTTATTTTTTAAAAAGAACAAAAAATTTCCCCTCATTAAAATCAAATGAACTAAAAATTTTCCCCTTTTATTAAAAATCAAATGAAAATAAAAAAAAAACGTTTTACTCCCCGGTTTAGTGACGTCCCCGCGCACACAGGTTTTTAATCAGGTTTGGTCCTTTTAGTTTTATTCAAGATAATAAAGGGGAAAATAGTTTGTTACGTCCCGTGATGACCGCCACACAGGGTTTTAAAACTTGGGTTTCCCTTTTACCCAACCCCCCCAAACCTTTTCCACTAACCAAACCCATCACAATTTTCCCCCCCATAACCCCCCCATTTTTCTTTTTTTTAACCCTTTTAGTTCATTTAAAAATTAATAAGGGGGGCACATGCAACAGAAAATCACCTTTTGCTTTTCATCCACAAATCCCCTTTTTTACATATTTTCGAAGTTTTAAATTTCCCCCCTTTTTTCTTTGAAACATCTTTAAAAAACCCCTCATAAACTTTTTAATACTCACAAAAAAAACCTTTTACAATTTTTCCCAAAAAAACATGAAATACTCCCCAAAAAAAATCATTTTGAACAAACCCCCCAAAACACCTTTGAATACTTTCCCCAAAAAAAACCCTTTATAAATAACCCTTTCAAAATCAAAATTTTGAAAAAAATTTTCATAATTTCTCTATAATCCCTTTGTAACCTTCAAAAAAAAAACCTTTTGAATATCACATAAAAACCCCTTGAACACACTCAAAACAACCCCTTCAACCCCCCTTCCCAAAAAAAACCTTTTAAACCTTTCCCAAAAAACCCCTTTTAACACATTCAAAAAAAACTCTCATAATCATTTGGGAAAACCCTCAAAAAAACCTTTTAATAACCTTTAAAAACCCCCTTTTAAAAACCTTCAAAAAACCCTTGAAAACCCTTTAAAACACCCTTGAACACCTTTTAAAAAAAAACATTTGAAAAACACTTTAAAACACCTTTGAACCTTTTTAAAACACTATTTTTAGTTTCTTCCCCCAAAAAAATTTTTACATTTTCTAATTTATCTGGGGACTTACATTTTTTAAAATTTTTAAAAACCTTTCCCCCCAGTCTCCCAAATACATTTTTTTTTTTTAAACCCCTTTTTGTTATTAAATTATTAAGGGGACCAATACATCAGAAAAAAAAAAGTCACAAAAAAATTAAAACAAAAAATTTAAATTTTTAACACCCCCAAAAACCCCTTTTTCATAATTTATTTGAAAAACTTTTACATAACCCCTTGAACACCTTCAAAAAAACCTTTTGAAAATCCCTTTTTAAAAATAAATTTTATCACAACCCCCTTTTTATCATCTTTTTTTCGGTAACTCTAATTCGGGCTACCCCTACCCCCA